CCGCTAGCAACGTACTGCAGAAAGTGACGTCGATAATGGATTCCCTACCATCTTTGCGGAAGGTGCTGATGGTTCCTAAGTTGGCCAGACTGACGTTCAACTTTGCTAAAGCTTTCAGCAGGCTATACCCTCCTGCGTTGGTATACCTGCTCCCCCAATCCACTGCCCAAGCATTGAAATCTCCTGCGATGACGACTGGTTTCCGTCCAATGAGCTCTCAGGTGAGCCCATCTAGCATATGGTGGAACTGCTCAATTGTCCATCTCGACCACCCTGTCTTCAGCAGCTCGTTAGCTACGACCGAAGAAAGTCGTATCGACGCCGTCTGCGTGCCACCATACGCCTTCCTCAACCGAATTGCCATCGGTACGTCTCCCAGGTTGCATTGTACCTTCAGTGCATTTTCAACTCATCTTCTGTTGTGATCTCGTCCAGATCCTTGCACTCGACCACTGCTTCCTGGGATAAGGCTCTTACGTTCGCCGTCTCGCCAAGAGATTTTTCGACGAGCTCCTTAAAAGCTGCGCTCTTAACCGTAGGGTCCCTTTTCAGCTCGAAAAGCATCTCGCCTTTCTGGGTTCGCCTGGTTTTAACCACGTTCTCGCCTAGTTGTTTCAACTCCGGATCCTCTCTCACTTTCCGGAGTAGTGCTGTGTGTGTGTGTGTGTGTGTGTGTGTGTGTGTGTGTGTGTGTGTGTGTGTGTGTGTGATTTTTTTTTATGGTAAGGAAAGCTTCAAAAGCCCGGCCTGTCACTGTGTTGCGTGTTTGTTCTCCTTCTGGCACAGTGTGGGACTCTCAACCACTAAAACCTTATTCGCCTCTAGCCACTACCCCCCCGGAACTCCTCTAGAGTATTTCGTTGGGGGGGAGGGGGCTGTGCTCAAGCACTTCTCTTTAGCTCAGCTAGCCGGCGTTGCTAACTCGCTGATCATCTCTCCATTTTCGCTGCAGCTCCGACAAAATTTGCGTCACTGCCCTGCTGACGACGCTCCACGTCCTCTCATCCCGGCACATTTCACTGACGACATTTCTCGCGCTAAGGGCCGCCATCTCCACTCGCACTGCCTCAAATCTTGGGCAGTAGAAAACCACCTGCTCCGGCGTTTCGTCCACGTTGCCACACTCCGGACAGAGGGGTGACGTTGTGTGTCCAAAGCGATGCAGGTACTTCCTGAAGCAGCCATGACCAGACAGGAACTGCGTCAAGTGGAAGTTGACTTCTCCATGCTTCCTGTTCACCCAGGTCGAAAGAATCGGTATTAGCCTGTGTGTCCATCTACCGTTCTCCGCTGCGTCCCACTCCTGCGCCACTTAGCCATCGACTTAGTTCTCACCAATGTCCGTACTCCTCTGGTATCTCTTCGCATATAGCATTCGGTGTCCTCCGCCAAGGTGATGACGATGGGTATCATACCGGCGATAACGCATACTGTTTCCGTCGAAATTGTTCTGTACGCACTCACGACTCGCATAGCTATGAGGCGGAACGTACTGTTCAATTTTCTTTGGTTGTACTTCGTTTTGAGCGCCGCATCCCAGGCTGGACCTCCATACCTCAGTATCGACGACGATACACTAGCCAGAAGACGCCTCTTGCTGCTGCTTGGTCCAGAGTTGTTCGGCATGATTCTGGCTATCACATTGATGGCTTTCGCTGCCTTCTCACATGCGTAGTCGCCGTGTCTATTGAAGCTTAGCCGGTCATCGAGTATCACTCCAAGATACTTCAGCACGCGCTTTGATGCTATGGCGTTCTCCCCGACGGTAATTTCTGCTCGCTGCACAGCTTTACAGTTACCAATAGCACTTCCGTTTTGTGGTGCGCTATCTGCAGCTTCACTCGGTTGCCAGCATTTCCACCTCTTCCAACGTCTCGCCTACTACCGCCAACGCGACGTCGTCCGCAAATCCTACGATCTCGACTCCTTTGGGCAGCTTCAGCGTTAGCACGCTGTTGTACATCGCGTTCCAGAGCGTTGGGCCAAGGCTGGAGTCTTGTGGCACACCCACCGTGATCCGGATTGAATTCTCTCCCATGTCCGTCTCGCAGACTAGAACCCGGTTCTGGAAGTAACTCCTTATAATGCTACACAGGTAATCAGGAACCCTCATTCCATGCAGTGCTTCGGCGATGGCCTCCCAGCTGGCGCTGTTGAATGCGTTTTTCACGTCGATCGTTATCACGGCGCAATATCGATCTCCTCTCCGCTTCTGTTTAGACGCTTTCTCGGCACTTTCGACCACTGTCCGAATTGCATCCACCGTTGATCTCCCTTTCCGGAATCCGAACTGCCTCACCGACAATCCATGCTCACTCTCCGTGCATTTCGTTAGCCTGTTAAGGATGATCTTTTCCAAAAGCTTTCCGACTGTATCGGTTTCGGCAGCAGCACTAGATTCTGTATCTTCCATCGGTCCGGGAAGTGACCTTCATCCAGACACTTCTGCAGCACTATCGTGAACATGTGTTCTCGTCTAGTTGCTTCAACTCCGGATCATCTCTCACTTTCCGGAGGAGTGCTGCGTATGTCGTTTTGCCTTTCGCCTCGATAACCATAGCGTCGCCCTTACTTCTCTCCCTACGGGGTTTTCCTTCCACATGACCCAAGTAACCACCAAGCCCGTTAATAGCTCTCTAATCGGCCTTTTTGCAATATAAGGTTGCTATAGGGTTTTGAAACTTTATATCAGTCGTATATCAGCATTATATTTCAAAAAGGGCGATTAGCGGGCTTGTTGGTTACTTGGGGATCTTTGTTGCCTACTGGTACCGAAGTGAGAGAGTTTTGTGGGTTCAATTCCCACCTTTAAGCAGTGGATTTATTCCACCATTCTCGTAACATCTCTATACCTAAAACACATGGTCTTGCCTTCTGGTATTATTTACTAGAAAGGGGCTGTTCATTAACTAAGTAGACACTTTTTTTGGGATTCTTGACCGGGGGGGGCATGAGTAGAAAATTTTCCATACACAAAATAAATGTCACCCCCCACCCCCCTTAACTGTCTGCGTAGTTTATGAACAGCCCCAAAGTAGAAAATAGTTTGACTCAACATTAGTAATTTACCTTAAAATTGCTTACTAATGTATAAAGTATCCTGGACACCTATAGTGGTGTAAAGGGCCGACGTGAAAGGCTTCCAAGTAGGGTGGCTGCTTGCTTTTGCTGTAACCTTTGCTCAGGACAAATTCTTAACAACTTGCTTAATTTCTTTGTTGAGGCTCCACCAATGCCGTGCGCAAAGCGATCCTACAATCTCGTTCTAAGCTACAGGTAGGAAACATTCAACGGTTAACAACGGTCAGCGAGGAACAAATTCTACATCGTATTACTGCCATATTGCCTTTATAACTGAAACCCGACCATAAGGTTAAAAGGGACGCAAATTATTTCATTTATCGAAATGATCGTCTTGATGGAGCCTGTGGTGGCGTTGCCATCATTGTTCATAGACGAATCAAATAAAAAATACTTTCTTCATTTGAAACCAAAGTTTTTGAATTTCTGGGAGTTTCTGTTGAAACAAAATTTGGACAACTTACGTTTATAGCTGCCTATTTGCCATTTCAAGGCGTAGGCAAGCAAAAGAATTTTCTCAAGGGTGACCTTACCCGTCATAGGTCTAAATTCTTCATTATTGGTGATTTTAATGCAAAACACCGTTCATGGAATAATGCTCAAATCAATTGCAATGGAAATATTCTGTTTGATGATCCAATATCCAAACAGCCCAACATGCTTTTCTTCAGCCAGAAATCCCTCAACTATTAATTTAGTTTTAACTGATTCAAGTCAACTTTGTAGCCAATTGGTTACCCATGCTGACTTCGGTTCTGATGATGATGATGATGATGATTGTCCCACCTCTTACCCCTACAAAGGTTAATCTTTAAGATAATTAAATAAGATAATTTAACCAGGTTTGCAAACAAAATCGAACTAATTACAGTTACAGATATAAATTCACTCTAGAGTTTACAGTTGCTGATGCTATTATAATTTTCAGCAATGTCAGGAATGCTCACAAACCCCCAACATTTGCCAGAAAACTTACTACTAACTCAAGGTATCTTCCAAATAAGCTTCAAAATTGATTTTTTTTCAAATTTTAAATTCAGTCCATAATACGCGCGCGAGGCTCAAACCTTTGTAGCCTATTTTTTTAATCTACTACTATTAAATCAAATATTAAAAATCCATCATCACCATTGTGACGAACAGAGATAGTTTTTGCAGTCCTACAATAATTAATTAAAAAAAAAAGTCGTTATGACAGCTATCCATATAAAATAATCCGTTTGAGATAACTTCGTCAAGATACATATCGCCATCTCTGTGGAGAACCGTGCTGCCATGGTAACGGTGATTATGTTTAAACATCAAACTCCACAGTAGCTGACTATGCGTGCCGTGGGAGGCTTCTCTAACAACTATTATGCACTATTATTATGTATATTAATGACTTGCGACGTGTTTTACGATTTTGCGACATTAATCTTTTTGCAGATGATACTGTGTTATTCATTGCAGCTAAGGATTTAGATGATGCCGTTTTACACTTGAATGAAGATTTGCGTTCTCTAAGTAGATGGTTGAAGTATAAGCAGTTGAAATTGAATACAAGTAAAACTAAATTTATGGTAATTTCGCGGAATCGAGTAAATGAGAACGTCTCTGTTGTAATTGATGATGAGACTATAAATCGCCGTGCCTGACCCTTATTCTAAAATATTTACAAACTTAAGGGCCACCCACAATATTCCGTCACCGTCACCGTCACCGTCAGCGTCAACTGACAGCTCGGTTTGAGCCAACGCTATTCAGTTTAACAACCCACAATGATGCGTTGCGCTCACTGCGCGCCAGTACTAAAACGCTGACGCTGTGCTAAATTTTGAAAATTTTCAAAATTGACGCAGCGTCGTGATGCTTTTTCTTGACATCAGCGTAATCAGAAGCGTATTTTGTGCCGTGTTGATTTGAATACATGGAAGAAAATGGAAGAAAAGTTAATTATTTTAATCAAGGAGAACCCTGCCCTGTACGCAAAGGCCTCAAAAGATTATAGAAATAATATAAAAAAAGAAAAAGCCTGGAATTCGATTGCAGCCGAGCTGAATACTAACGGTGAGTGTTATATTTGCTTCTTGCTTGAACATAAACTTTATTACTTCATCTCCTTTCAGTGGATGCGGCTAAAAAACGCTGGAGAAGTCTGAGAGATCGGTTCGTGAGGGAAGCAAGGAGGTTGGTGGAACAGTCGCGATCTGGCGCTGGTGAAGACTCATCCACTTCCTCCTGGCCATTTTTCGAGGAACTGAAGTTTCTTCAGTCCCACACTGAAGCTCGACCGTAAGATGAATTGTTTTTTTTTTCTATCTGTAGTATTTATTTACCCAAATAATTTTTCAAAATTTCAGGACTTCCTCCAACTACCAGGACAAAAATGTATTCGAAGAAGGTCATGGACAGGATACTGAACATATAAACAGTGACAGTGAAAGTAGCCTTAACCTCGGCCTTAACATAACCACTCCCTCGGTTACCCCGACCGCAAAGTCTTCACGACGCCGGAAGCAAGCCCTGGACACAGACGAACATTTCCAATGTATTCTGGAAAAAGTCGAACAGCGTGTGGAAGGGTGGTCGGCCAAAAAATCAAGGCACGAGAGTTTCTGCACATACATTGGAGATAGATTGGAGATGCTTCCAGAGCAAGTCGCAAGATCTCTAGAAGTGGAGTTCATCTTGAGAGTGAACCAATCGATCGATGAGTTTAATCATCTGATCGAAACGGATGATGATGTAATTTGTGAATAAATAAACGTATTATAATAACTGAATCTTTGAACTTTCAATTCATAAAAAAGTAATCATAGTAAGTAATTTGAAAAGATAACTTCTTGGGGTACAATAGTTGACGAAATAGTTACCTACCTTTTGGTGCTAGTATAGGATGGATTCTAGTAGGTGACAAGCAGATATTCCGGAAGACACGGCACATCCGTAATAATTCAAATTCCATGAAACTATTCCTAGTGCTTTGCATTTGATTTCGAATAAAAAAAGCAACTTTTGCTACCAGAACTAATTCACATTATATTACATAGAGAAGCCTCCCTTAGCTCAGCCGGTAAAGGCGAAGCTACAAAGCAAGACCATGCTGGAGGTGGCTGGGTTCGATTCCCGGTCCGGTCTAGGAATTTTTCGGGTTGGAAAATTTCTCGACTTCCCTGCGCATAGAAGTATGATTGGACTTGCCACACAATTATACCAATGCAAAAATGGTACAGGCATCGAAAGCTCTAGATTAATAACTGTGGAAGTGCATCTTAGAACACTAAGTTGAGAGCACGCAATAAGCTAATATGCGATATGCAATAAGCTTGAAATGCGAAGAAGAAGAAGAAGAAGAAGACATAGAGAAGCTAATGATGAGCACACGGAGAAGTGCAACGTGACTCCGGCGGAACGGCATTTTACCCCGAAGGTCAACAGTTCGTAAAATCCATCTTTTCATGAAACTTATACTAAGCCATCATGTTTTTTTTCGAAAACACTGGGTGGATGAGCCAGTAGTGGAGAAACTGAGGCAATATATGTCGATTACTTTTTCGAAGGGACGTATCAGTTTTTGTAAAAAATTTATTTGATCGTCGATGTGGCGTAACTGGTAGCTCACCTACGCATACTAACACTATCATCAGATAGGGGAAATTTCCCCCTACCTGTTAGTGGTATTAACATGCATAGGCAATCAGTTACGCCAAATCGACGATCAAATACATTGTTTTCAAACGCTGATACTTCCCCTCGTAAAAGTAATCGAGATATTAATTATTAAATAAATATATGATCTGCATACCACTTTTATACGTCGATCTTATAGCTTTCAACCAATATTTTGCTAGAAAAATATTACATTGTGCTTATTGTTTGTTTTTTTGAAAATTCGTCCTCCATTAAGAGGCAGTTCATAAACTACGTAGACAGTTTAGGGGGAGGGGTGACAATTATCCACGGCCAATACAAATTTTAAAAAAATGTATAAACAATTGCTTACGCGGGGGAGGGGCTCACGATTACAAAAAAAAACTGTCAACATAGTTAATGAACAGCCCCTTAATTGGAACGCTGTTCCCAGGGCTGGTAGCGATCACTGCTATCAAAACTAGTGAAGAAATGTTAGTTGTTTTAGACAAATTCAATAAGTATCTCGTAAACAATTATGTACGATATGAACCTTTAAAGCGAAAGATTCAATAGAAAGTTTATGGCCAAACCCATGGTATTAGTCAGGGTGTCTACTAACTGCAAAAACCTGGAAAACCGGGAATCCTCAAGAAATTTTATTTTTTCTTAAGCTGGAAGGCTCAGAGAATTTAATAATTTTCTTACTTGGGATATTTTAAAGAAAATACTGAATTTTAAAATACAAGCTTTTCAATTTTCTCGTTATTTTCATTCACACTTTGAACTTTATAGATCCACAGTAGACTAATCTTCAGTAACTAAAAAAAAAAAAAAAACAGAGGCTTGAAATGTTTTTTAACATGCATATTTCCTAGAAATTTTAAATTTGAACTAGTTCTGCACTTAAAATCTAGAAATTTTCAAGAATCTGGACTCAAAATCTATGCACAGTTTTAAAAGCTCGTGGAATTTTAATATAATTTCTAATGACCCCATTTCAAGAGGGTTCTGGAAAAAAAAACTTTCAGAAAAAAACATTAAATGCAATCTGCTTTTAAGGTAATTCTGATGTGTTTTAGATTTCTTGTGAAGCTTGATAGTTTTAAGTAGAATTTCAAGAAACCCTCAATTAAATTAAATCTTTAATGAAAACTCTGAAAATTTCTGAGGAGCACAACTCCATCAGAGCAAAATTCCAAGGGTCTTCTGAGGATAATTTTGTGTTTGTAGGAGAAAACGAATCTTGAGCATAAGTCCTTGGAATCTTTTTGAAAATACTAAAAGGAGGATTACAACTAAATCTGAGAATAACTCCAGAACATCTTCAAAGGAATTCGGAAAATAAATTCAGGAGATAGAGAAGAAATCGAAGAAATTTGTGGGGATTGGATAAATTGTTGTTGTTTTTGATCCTTCAAAAAAGCATAAACAGCAAACAGCTTTTTTATTATAAACCAGGAATTTATCCATTAGAGTACTCGAAAAACCTGGGAAACTCAGCTAATTTTATTTACAAAAATGAGTAGACATAGAAAGACGATTAAACGCCATAAAGCAAAGAATGATCAATCTTGAAATGAATTCACGCTAAAAAGTTGAAAATAGTGACTGATGCGAAGAAAAAGTGACTTTAGTTAATTGGCTTTAAAAAAAGGGACTTTTTAGTGACTGGCAGTGTTGGCTAAATCATCAATCAAATAATATTTTTCCACTCTCATACGCTCTCAATATCACGCGTGATATTGGAACCGAATATCATGCTTGATATTGATTTTACAAGCTCCTTTGATATTGCGAGACTATTCACAACGCACAAAAATCAAGCTGAGAGCTGACTCGACACAGAAATTATTCCGTTCCACATCGTTTTCTTGGTAAGAGAAAGTATAGTTTGCTATCTCTTTTTAATCTTCACCGATGACTGCTGCCAGCCGTTATGGAAGATTCGGTTGCATTCGGGTGTATAGCAATAATCATTAAACTCAATCTCACCACAGTTTGGTGAGATTTGCAGTTGGTGAGTTTTGTTAGCTTGATATTCCGAGCTGCGATATCACAGCTTGCGAAATCAACCGCAGATGTTGCTTGTTGATTTCTGTCTACGAAAATCAAGGGTGATCTTGGGCACTGGTTAGGTTTGATTTTTTGATATTTTTCCAACACTGGTGACTGGCTTGAAAAAAGTGACCAAGTCACTAAAAATTTGGAATTATTTTTGATTAACTTTCTATTTTGTGAGTCTCTGGAGATTTAATTTGAATTGTTGAAGATCTTCAGAATGAAAATCTGTTTAACCTGAAGTCTTGGAAAAATATCCAGAACGCTTTACGAAGATCTTTGATCGTCTAACGGCTTTTGAAATAATGTTTGATCATTTTGCTACCTTTTGAAAATATTTGAGAGATGTCATTTGAGTTGTTGTACAGTTGGAGATCTTAAAAAAACTTGATTAACCTGAAGGGATGGAAAAATATCCAGAGGAATTTATGGAGATCATTGATCTTCTGGAGATCTTTGGAATTATTTTTTTATTAACTTTCTATCTTGTGAGAATATCTGAGAGATGGAATTCGAATTGTTTGTCAGTTGGAGATCTTCAGCAAAAAAAAACCTGATTAGCCTTGAGGCTTGGAAAAATATCCAGAGGATTTTGGTTTAATTTATAATCATTTTGCTAACTTGTGAGAATATCTGAGAGCCATAATTCTAATTGTGGAGAGGGCTTTACGATCTTTGATCATCTTGTAGTAGATATAAGTCTCATGTTTTGATATTGTTAATTTATTTATTTAACATGAGACTTTTATCTACTACAACTACGGCCTTTGGAATATTTGTTGATCATTTTGCTACCATGTGAGAGTATCTGAGATACGTGATTCAAATTATTGGACAGTTGGAGATCTTCAGAAAAATTCCTGATTAACCAGATGAAACTTTGTAAACTTTTCAGAAGTTGAGTTTTATGATTTAACTGAACTTCGTAGAAGATCTCTAAACTATGTGAAGTCGTCTGATTTTTAGTGAAATTCTCTGAACTTTGTATACAATTCCATAACCTCGTGGAGGTGTTTGTTAATTTGGTAGTAGTTCTCTGAACTTTAGAAGATCTCTGAGCTCTTTATCCAATCCCCAGTAGTCCCAAAGCCGTATTTAGAAAGACAATTGTTTGCGCTTAAGCTGTTAGTCGGAATTTGCATTTGTAAGAAGGACCATATGGATTTCTAAACCCCGATTCCGAAACAAATTTCAGTGAATATTCCCAATAAAATACAACTAGTGAAAGAGTTTTGTAGACAATTTATATTTTATATTTCCTTTCAAATATTGTGTGAATTGATAATTATTTAACTAAATTGGGCGCTCGAATACATGTTTGGCCAACACATCTCGGTTAGCGTATACGGATCGCGTCGCATTGTTGCCTCTTTGAAGGGCCGCAGAGTTGATACTTCTCAGAGGATCAACTAATGTACGCCATTCACCAGGTTCACTAACGTTCCCATCACCATCAACTTGATCTACGAAGCATGGCGGGCAGTAATCATTCGCTGAATTCCTCTTAACAAAGTTGTGCAAAATGACACAAGCTTTCACAATTTTGTCAACCGAGCCTGGAAGCATAACTAATGTGTTCTTCAAAATCCTCCACCTCGCCACTAGAATTCCAAAGCTGTTTTCGATGGTTCTCCTGGCTCTGGACAGTCGTTGATTGAAGTTGTCTTGAATTGGAGGTAAGTTAACACCTGGATATGGCCGGAGCAAGTTCTTCTTGAGAGGAAATGCTGCATCCCCAACAATGAAATATGGCATCACTTCATTTGACCCAGGCAACTTGCCTGGTGCTGGCAAATCCAATGCGCCATTCACCAATCGCCTCCCAAATTCAGAATATGCAAATATTCCTCCATCGCTATTACCGCCATATCCTCCAACATCGATAGCAATGAAGTTATAATTTGCATCGCAAACGCCAATTAAATTTATAGAATGGAAATGTTTATAATTGAAAAACAACGATCCACTGTTCGGCGGACATTGGATTGAAACATGTTTTCCATCTATGGCTCCACAGCAGTTGGGAAAATTCCATTGATCATAGAACTCCTGGCTGTACATGCTCCATT